CAGTTCAGCTCACTAGTTGGGTGACTAAAATTTTATTAAGGGAAAAAAAAAATAGGATTTCAAGATGCCAGTGAGATCTACTTTGGGTGAAGATTAAATGAGACCTGCTTGATCTATTTTGTTTTAAATTTTATGTAAAAGAGTGAAAAATAACATCTTATTGACTTGGGGTTGTCATTCAAAAGAACTTTACAAATGTTTTTTCATTTTTTTCTCAGTATTAATCCAACTCCACAAATGAAGACATGGGCTTTATTTGTTATTTAACAAGTTTTATCTCTGTAATAGCATCCCTCTGTCCAAGGCAAGATAATAGAACTATTTCCATCACTTCAGTTAAGGCTGTGTCAATATTTTTGTTAGAAGCCTGCATTTTATGGACTAAAACTGTACCACAGCCAAGGAAATTCACGTAAGGTTAAAATTAAGACAGCAACATCTGAAATCCAGTGGAAAAGAAAGAAAGAAAGTGTGCTCATTCCTAAGCCTTGAGGAGAGAAGTTAATGATCCTGAGGCCTTTTTGTGTGTATCCTTCAAACCCAGCTCCCTTTCCACAGCTCCTGGCATTTTATAGCTTAGCACTCCATATCCCTTGGCGATGATATGTTAGCTGTGAGTGGAAGGCTGTAGAAACTGAATTAGTTTAATTTAAGAAACTAGCTACTATATATGCTCAAGGTCTGATTGCAGTTAGGAATCCTTTCTTTTTCATGTGTAATGAAAATACATTTGTACAGGTATTTATTCAGTGTGGATTGATGTACTGTAGATTTCTCAGTGTAGTTGTATGAAAGTATGTTAGCATTCTCCGATAAAGACAATGGGCTGTAAATCTCGTGAATTTATGTATTTGCTTAGTGATTCAGGTTTTTAAGAAGAACATGATCTTCAAGACAGTGTACAAACTTGGGGTAGAGAAGCTGGAGAAATATGAACAGTCTTCTATGCCTCAAACAGGCAAAATTTCCTTTGATTTCAATATCCTATTTAAGAACTGATCACAAGACATGTGGTTTGAGGATTATTATAATTAAGATTGCAGAATCACATTGTGTGTGAACAAGAGAAGTTGTCTTTCTGGAGTATATCGGTTACTTTAAAAATCTCCATAATATTGTATCTTTTTTTAAATTAGCATGTGTAGATCAGGGTCAGAAATTTTATAGTGATCTTCACATCTGAGTTCTTGAAATGAATTTTATATGCTAAGAAAGAAAACATAACAGAAAACCATAAAACTTGTATATATTTATCCCCTATCTTATCAAAATTTCATGTTAATTAATAGGAAAATATGGAGAAAGAAAACAGTTGCTTAGCAAATGCACAAATCTATTTAGAGAAAAACTTACAGATGTGTTGTAAACAAATGAAAATACAGACCATTTGAATGGCATGAGGAAGAACACTTAAGTAGAGTGGATTTAATGATCACTTTGATGCTAATGGAAAATTCAGCCCTTGAAATTTTTAAATGTATTTTATAAAAGTGCTGCTGTTTCTCCAAGCCTCAGTCATGTACATATTTTTTTTTATTCAATCCCCCTCTTTTGGTGAAAGGTGAAGAGTGGGAACACTAACATTTATCTTAACAAAGTCCTTCCCTAAATAAATTTTCAGTGAGCAGAAAAGTGAGTAGGACTACATGAGTATTATTTGTCTGTTCTCTGAGGAACGGGGTATCCTATATAAGTCATTTTGGGAGATCGGCCAAAAAGAAGATGCCAGAACTCTAAACAGTCAGGGCTTTGCAACAATATAATAAAACATAACAACAGGATAAAAAAACACCCAGAGAGGAAAACAAAGTCCTGAACTTGTAGGTGATACAATCAGATCTTTGAAAACCCCAGTGTATTTAGTGGAGGATTTATTCTTTGACTGCTGGACCAACCCCAGTTAACTCTTCTGTTACACTCATCAATATTTATGGAAAGCTGCCAATGCTCACAGTCTTATATAAAATAGAGGACAAGACATAGTTTTTGTCTTGTATCTTTCAAGAGAGATGGAAATTCTGGTATAAATTCCAGTATAAAGAGAAGGTGTTTACAATTTTAATTTCAGAAGTAAATGCTGTCCCATTTTTCTCCTTGGTTGCTTGACAGAATTGTTATTGCAGTTCTCTTGATGATTATTTTTTTTAAATATGTTTTTGAAAGTCAGGTATTTGCAACTCTTATAGGCTGATTTTTATCAAAATTAACATATGTTTCAAATTTTACTCTTTAATATAAAATTACTTGCCCTTGTCTATTTTTTTATTTTACTTTTAAAATCTATTCAGCCTTTTCAATCTTATGCTTAGTAATTCCTAATCAACATCTCAGCTACATATTTCTTGTTTTAATATATATATATCTCTTAAATTATTATAACTGGTTACAACTATATACAAAAGTTTCAATTTAAAATATCATGGTGATTAATAAAGCTTTATAATTACACATTATGTAATTAATGGTGTGCAAGTATGAACATGGTGAATACTATTTCCAGAGCAGATTAATTTGATGCAGGTTGACTGAGGCTTCAAATCTAAAACCAGTTGAGTTATTACTGTGCTGCATCAGCATTTATTGATTTTAAGGTACAGTGTTAGCATTCACTTATCACTGCATATTTTTTCCCATTGTACATTAAAAGAGCTTGCCCTCATCTGTCATGATTTTATACTGCATAAATCATATAAAATGGTTACTTGTTTCCATGATTTATTTCATTTTTATGTTAATTATACTGAAACATAAGATTGTTTAATAAAAATGTTGAAGCTAATCCATACTGGTCATCAATATTTCTTAAGCATGCTACATGGTGGAATGTGCGATAAACCACAATATCCAACATGTATGGAAGAGCATTTAAAGTGAATTAGGACTTAGACTCACTTAATGCTGAGAAACATTTTAATTTTACAAAAGCCAGATAAAACCTGGTATTTACACAGTATTTTTTTAATATGTTAACGGTGTCTATTAATCATAATCACTATAAAAATAAAGCATGTCACCCCCAGTTTTCACAGTTTGGAAACATAGGATACACTTTAGCTTCTCAAAATTACTTTCTTAAGGCAACACCGGCTTCCCAACAGAATGAGACAAATATTAGAAACTTCCTAGTCAAGGTAAGACATTCAGTGGAAACTTGCATTCTTCCAGAGACGATTTTTGCCTGGGGAAGCACGGCAGGATCAGGCTAGGACATATCTGACACTGAGCCTTCAAAGAGTTTCTAATCAGAGACTGTAAGAAGTCCGCTTGAAATCAAAGACATTTTTAGAAATCAAAGCCTCGGTCCCAGCTAAATAGTCCTCAGAGCTACCAATGAAATGGTCTGCAGCATATTTACTGAGGGTATTTCTCAGGACACACAAGGAAAATTTTTGCGGGATCAGGGCCTTAACTAATGCTTAGGAGATCAGATAATTTCCTATTTTCTTCTGTAACATTGCCATTTTAACTTCAGCTGACTCCAGATACTCTGGGTAAATCGAGGCATACAATGATAACTTAAAAGTAACACATGTATAATATGTAACTCCTTAGGGATGAGGAACACATTTTCAAAAAATAGAGGTTTCTTTTTTTTTTTTTTTCTAGTCTGCTATTTCAGGAGCAAGAGCAACAAGCAAATATATTTAGAGTTGTGGATGTATGTTACTCTTAAGGCAAAGGTCTCAGAATGAACACCTCTGTATCTGCCAAATAATTAATGAAAAGTAATTTTATTATTTCAACAACTGAATTCTACAGTGTCATTTTCCTAGAAATTCGAGTTGTTGAGAATTTTAGGCTTTGGAAGCATTTTTAATCCTGCAGCAAGCATTAAAGACCTGGTAGACATAAAAGGTACAGAATGTGTGTGAAAATCTGAAGGTATTTGGAACATATGCCGTTGCTTAAAAAGTTTCTACAGAAAGTATTATCCTGGAAAGCAAGAGTTCATCATATTTTGTACCAGTTTACAGAGAAACTTCAAGTTTTCAATTAAATCTCTTGCTATTCAGATCAAATGAGAAGGGGGTTTTAGCTAACTTTATGAGTCCTCCAGCATTTAAAATACTTATAAAAATAGTAAATACATTCCATGAATTATTTGCAGCTTTCTTAATGAGATTTAAGTTGCTTTCTATTAAAAAAATCTGTAACTGCTTTTTTAACCACAACATAACTGGTAAACATGTTTATTATACTCAGAAGCCAATATAATTTAGTTGTATCAGTTTTTGTGTCTGAATTGATATCAGTTTCAAAAGCATTCTTTGCTTGTATGTTTCTGATGTTTAATGCTCTACTTGTTACTTAATTTATTTATGACACAAAATAAAAACCATTGCAGACTCTGAGCACCATGGCAGTATAATAAAACACAGTCTGTGGTTATTAAATAGAAATAACAAAGAAACAGCAACAGATTATTTAAAATCCAGCCATCCAGCTGAAAAGATAATAAAACTCTTAGTATTACCAACAGAAAAAAAAAAAAACAACAAAAAAAACCCCAAACCAACTAACCTAAGATTTTTTTTTTTCAGAAATAGCTCTACTTTTCCCTTTTCATAACATTCTAGGCTTTAAAATATTAACAACTGATGTTTGTTCATGTCTGAGCTTTAAGCAAAACAGTGAGGGAAATAACCAAGCAATAGGCATAAGTGTTTGATTTTTTGAGATTTAAAAAAAAAAAAAAAAAAAGGAGTTAGTTGGCCTAAGGCTAGAATTTTCATTACATCAATGAAAGAAAGAAAACAGAAGCCAGCAGAGGGGAGTTATAGAAACTGACTATATAAATAGTGAGAAAAATCTTTTTCCATGGCCACCTACAACGTAGCTACTTTACCATCAGTGCAACTTTTCTTTTACCGGTGGCACAGCAGCCTGGGCCCGATCCTGCCCTTTTAGAACCTGTTACAGTCCAGCCGAGAGGTTTGCCCCTTGCAAGATCGGACTAACAGTTTGTCAAAGAGAGCAGAAAAAAAAATTTTTCCACGTACCTAAATTGACAAAGCTCATGACCATATCAGCATCATTCAGAAAGTTGGTGTCATGCAGGCTGGCTAAGGGAGGATTCTGTGTGGTCAGGGGGCTCATGCGAGATAATTGTATTCTCCGCGAATATCCATTTGGAGAGGCAGGGTATCCTTTCCGCATCCCTCTGCTCTCTCCTGCCATTGATCCCTTTAGTGAATACTCCAGCTCCTCAGTATCCTCTTCATTTGTCATGGCATTGTACAGGTCCAGCATGAAGAGGGGTGCAGAAGAAGCCTGCTTTCCTGGTGAAAATGGTCTGGGTCTGTGAGGTAAACCCAGGATAGAGAGAATCTCTCTTTGAATCTCCCTTCTCTCATGGTTCCGCAGCCTCCTGTAAATAAAACTCGAATGGACATGATTGTCTCCTAAACCTCCCTGTGCGTGACCCACCAGAACCCAGCAATTCCAGAGCAAGCCCATGAAAGCTTTGAGCACAGTTAGGTTCATCTTTGAAAAGAAAAAGAAGAAGGAAAAAAAAATTTAAAAATCTTTTCTCCTACTTGTTCTGAGTTCCTATGAGGTCTGCTTTCCCAGTGGCTGAAAAATGAAATTTACCTATTCTTCATGTCAATGTCATCTCTAAACGTAACATCTTTCGTGATTTCTCTCCCCCCACCCTGTTTAAATATTATGGAATGTGTCAGGTTGCAGTTATTTCTAAGAAAGCTGAAATTCAGACTTCCAGTTTTCCACTGTTGTTATCAGTTTTTCTGCATTTATGGAGCAGAAGACCAGTATTTTGTCAGCTGACCTAGGCATTCCTATATAAACCTTAGATAACCAGGTCTTTGGTGAGGAGCTGTATTAGCAAGAGCTGTTCTTCTGACACATTGTAGTTCCCAGAGTTATCTTCCCTCGTTATTCTGAGTTCTTCGTACACCTTGCGCTCTTCCCAAGATAAAATCCTGAGTCACAGATTTGTCTTGATCTGTACCTTGGTGGTGTAACACATATTTGTCCAGCAGCCTGGTGATAACTTTAACATCTTTTGAATCGCTTGAGTGTAAAGTAATTCTAAAGCATGTACTAATCGAATTAATGTGTTGCCATGAATTTACTCGCAAAAAAACCCTTCTGTAAATCCATTCAACCCTTTTCAGCTTCTGAACTGTTATTTCCAACTCTAGCAGGCACAAATATAACAGCTCTCTTCAAGAGAGATCTAAAGACTAATGTAAGCACAACCCTGCTGGGAAAGAAGAGGCTTCTCATTGTAATTTGAAACGGGTATAGCAAAAAAGTCGTTAACCCTTCTCTTGCCAGACAGAGCTTTAAACCTCTCCCCCCCTCAATTTACAGTAATATACCCAATTTTGTCTGTCAGCTATTTTTTTCCTAACAGTTTGCAGAATTAATTTTAACTTTAACAGTTTTAGGATATATAGATAGCTAAAGGCATGGTGTAATCTGGAAGCTCTTGTGAGTCTCCTTATGAGTCTATGATTTAGTAAACTTCAATAGGAAACTCTCATAACAGACTTAAATAGCATCTCATTAATTCAATAAATGTTTATATTTTAGGTAAGTTTAGCAAACAAAGGTGACCTTTTTAATAAACTCTGTAGGAAATTTTGTCTGTGAGGCTTGATTCACTCTTTTCTAAAAATTTCGGGAATGCAATCTGAATGAAAACAAATTTATTCAGCAAGTGAGATTTTAAGTTGTGCATAGCCAATGGTGTAATTATGGTTATAATCACAACTTTCATAAACTGTAATTTGCAATTATAATTTATTCAAAGTACATTTTGACTCATAAATTGCTATACTACATTCTTCAGTAAGTATCAGAAGCTAAAATTTAATCCCACAGCCTATTATTAACGCAGAAAGAAACAGCTTAATTTAAGAAATAAGAAATATTAAATAGATTTTAAAGCTGCTGCCCATGTAGTTAAGGTTCAGCTTAGAATTTTCTGACAGCCAGCAACTGGTGTTTTCATCTCACTAAAACAAAATTGCAGTGCTAAATTTCATATAGCTCAGATTACTGGTGATCATTTTCACCACTCCTATGATTTGTTTTTGGTCTTGAGGAGACTTTCTTTTGATGAAGGGGAGCAAAAAAGGACAAAAAAGGTTAATACATGACACTGAGGAAAAACCAAGTATATAAAATGCATCTCATCCGGTTTTCCCTTACATGACTAGCACCTACTCAGCAAATCACACAGTTCTTGAGAAGGCTTGGGAGTGTGACAGCAAGTATAGTCACACCCTAAGAAGGCAGGAACAATTTATCTAGTATATTAAGCACAAATGAGTTTTTCTCATATACTGTGAGTCCTATTCTATATTTACAGTGTAGTCCAGCTATCATTAAAATACAGCTGATTCTCTCTCATAAATCAGCACACATAATGGACAATGCTTCTCTCAAGGAAGGATTTATATCATACGAGACCTGCTGAATTAACACGAAAATTAATTATTAGGCTATTTCACAGAAGTCCTGTTCTTCTCAGCAGAAGAACAGTCAGAATCAAAATGTTTTCTCTTGTCATTGAGAATTTCCCTCAAAATCCATTTGTTGTAAGAAAAACGTTATTTCCCAGTTTTGTTTTTCTTTCACTTGTCCTGCTCAGACAGTTGCAGTGATACATGAGACTTTACCATACATATGTCTTTTTTGAATTTGGCCATCATGTATCCGGCAATAAGGTTTATTTCTCTTTTCCAGCAATATATTTCCCTTTTTCCCCTAAGCATTCATAAAAGCCAGTGGATTGATTGCTCAGAGGATTTAAGTCCTCAGCCCATCAGTATGTTCAGCAATAGAAATTTCCTATATTATCCCACTAGAGTGTCTGGAGTTCCACATTTAGTTAATCTCCTCCCATTTAAAAAGCAAAAAATGCCCTCAAGTTTGAGGATGGTTTTATGTAATAAACATTTTTCCAGACAGAAACTGAGTAAGAAAACATATAAGCTAGTAATCATATGTTTGATGAAAACAGCTTCTGTTATTTTCAGATGGAGTCACAACCAAGCATATAACATAAATGAAAAAGATTTACTTTACATTAACCTACCCTAAACAGAGGCACCAAACATCCTTAACTAGAACACAAACATAAAACCAGTTTTTATTAATATAAACACAATGTCCTTTTTTAATAAACCTGTGTTCCATAAACAATTGTTGTTAACATGGGTATTTCATACATGGGAGAGATAGCCAGCTCTAAAGATGAAAGCCTTTGCTAAAGAAGTGAAAAGGATCTGTAATATCTGATAGGTCCATTTTCATATTTCCAATATGAATCAATTTACTTCTAAAGAAAAAATACCACATACAATTTCAGCATGTCAAGATATTTTATTTGATAATACATAAAAATAGATTGGCACAGATATCTGGATGTAGTTTAGGTTAGGGTTCAGTTTCAAAGTCACCTTAGATCTAAGTTTCAAGTTTTACAACAAAAAATTATTCCGAGCTGTTTGCATAACATTGAAACTTAAAAGAAATGCCACATTCATGCCATTTTTAGGTGCAGTCAAATCTAAGTAATATGTGAGGTCAGTATAAAGCATTGACCAAAAATCAAAACCAGGGGTTTGAACAAGATGCTCCAGAGATTCTAGTTTTATCCTGCATCTAAAACTGAAATTTTGAAATATAAAACCCACACAGATAGATCTTCTTTCTTCCTCAGGTTCTCAACCTGGAAGCAACATAAGAAATAACCTGACCAGCCTTTATCTGGTCCTTTAAAAGTCAAAGGAAAACTGAAATAACTCCAGAAGTGAGGTCCCATTAGGGACAGATTTCTGACAGAGGAACATGTAGACAGTGGAGCACCTGGAGAGCGGGGTCTCAGGGACAGGAGAGCAGCAAAGCACCATCCAGGCACCCCTGGCAGCACAAGGTAGGAAGTAGTTGCAGGAATTTCTTAAACATTGCGGCATATATGTACACGATGAGTGGATTCAGGGCTCATTAAGTTTGTACTAACCTAAACAACATTAAAGCAAATATCATAAGGGAAGTAATGAAACCTAGGAATCCAGATCTCACCAATGTCAGATTCTAATGGAACATAACACTGCAACAGTGAAAAAAATTATAACTACCCAGCAGGTCACTGCAATCACTGAGGTTGCAATAGTTTTTATGGGCAATGCCCACTACTTGAAAATATGTAAAATTAGTGAATGTCTACTGAATGCAGAATCCCTCTGGGTTCTCAATATCACATCAGCTGAGAATGATTTTCCACAGCAATGGTTCTCTGTAACTGCCTGACAAAATAGATTAAACTGCAGACCATCTCCAAGATATTTTCAACCTAAATCTGAAATCTACACATGCACACTGAATGATTCTGCTGGCCCTTTTCCTTTTAATGGCCAGCTAAATTTGGCATTCAGATCAATATTATGCATAAACAGATGTTCCACCATTAAAAATGTGTAAATCTGTCCTTGTTATCTCTCTGCAAGGCTATAGCTGCAAAAACTACATGGAGAAATACTTTTATAAAAAGGTTTCATGAAATCAGGAAAATCATTAAAGGTTAAAACTACAGATTGCCCATCAAAAAGAAAGCAAGTTGTCTGAACTCTTCCTGGGACAGAAGTGTTACACAGACACTCTAGTTAGGCATACCTGTAACCAAGTTGTATTTACAATGGTACGGACTGCATGAGGCATACATTCAAGCCTCTGGACATAAGTATGTAAATGTTCATATGCTCCAAATGTCCAATCTACAAAATATTTATGACATCTTTCACTCTTTTTATTTGAATTTTATCGTTTGATTTTGTATGATAGTTGTATTACTCTGCAAACATAAGAAAGAAACACAAAAAATCTTTTTCTGTATCAGTAAAAGATATGTCTCCTAATACAAAGGGAATTCCATTTGTAATGGACACAGTGTGAAAATTGGTAGAATTAGCTGCAGAAACTGCAGTTGAGACATAAACTGAGTATGATTTTTGTAAATGTTGCATATCTATATAAACCCCTTTTATTCTGAATAATTTTACAACATTTTGCCAATCAATAGACAGGAATCATGTCAGATGCAGAAACACTATGGGTTTTGGAACAGAAAATTAGTTCAATGTTATTATTTTATTTAACTTCGTATCAGGAAAGAAAGATAGCTGTCCCGAACCACAAAGATAGCTGTGCTCCTGAGACACAGGGAAATTTTAGGATAACCACTGGGGTTTTACCTGACATCTATACACTTTACACATATTCCTGGGGATTGTTAAGCATTATATAGAGTACTTCCATTTTATGCTGCAGGCAGAGGAATGCATTCCAAAATAATACTTGCTATGTGGAAGTGTTCAATACTTAGATTACAGTGCTATTTATTCAGTTACTATCAGTTTCCTGCAGCAAAAGAGTTTTTCATCCCGGATTTCAAAAGCTCAGGCAAAGTCACAAATCAGCCTAGGAGGTAAGTCATCAAGCATTTTATAGATTGCATTTAATAGAACACTTTGTTTAAAATTTACAGAAAGACCTCCAGCTTTAAGTATAATCATCTGTGAAGTTTGTTCTATTCATAGTACTACGCACAATGTTGTAAAGCTATCAGCACAGAATAGTCTGTAGCATTAAAAATATATTCTAACATCAAGAAAATAGATAAAAAATAATTTTGCAATCTGCCTGAAGGCTTTTTTTAAAACCTATTGTGTTGAAGGACAAAAAAAAAAAAAGAAAAACTTGTTTCACACATACTCCTCAGAATACATGAACCGCAAAATATACAATTAATAATATAATCCAACATCACAGTGCTGTCATTTGCATAATTTACAAACCCAAAGAGCTCCCAAAAAACCCTTTGGTTTACAATAAGACTCTAATTAGTTTTTTTTTTTTAAAAAAAAAAAAAAAGGAAAAAGGAACTGCACTGAGGCAAATACAAAACACTTGGACAAGAGCAACATATGTAAGTAGCAAAGCATAGCACTTTTTAAGAAGATTATTCTTGGCTCAGCTTGTAGAAGGGTTTTATTGTGCCCCAGCCGCAGACTGGTACCTGCTAGTCTCCTTCTCTGGCTGCAGCACGGCCACAGCATTTTGTGGTGTTCCCGGGCAGGGAATCTCTTCTGCCTCTTGCTGGACGTCTTTTTGTTTTCAACCACAGATACTTATAGAAATTCATTCCTAAACGTATGCCTTCTAGGTAGCGACATTGCA